GAAGACCTAAGTGTGCTATACATTAGAAGTCACTTCTGGCCCTCATTTTGCTGTCAGAAATATATTCTTTTTTTTTATGTCTTGTATTTGAGCATCAGTGGGTCCTTTTAGTGCCAGTCTCTTCCTGTCACTTTCTAAGGGCTCTTTGGACTACAGCCACGCATACCCAAGGGTTGGCAGTAAGCGGTGTCATCGAATTACTGCCAAGTAGGAAGAAGCATAAGATTTTTTTCTAGAGATTAAAAGAAGGCTGTCGGGAGCCAAGCATCTCCGTATTCCACAATGTCAGGATATCTAGCTTTTATCAGGCATTCTTGTTGTCTACCTTTAAACTGCCTACCTTTTTTTTTAATCCAGGAACTCTTGCACTTTATCTTGTCCCGATAATTTTGTATTTCCTATGAGTCACATGTTTCAACATTTCCCATCATTTCATAGGAAGCACAAGTTCCAGTGTTTCCCAACATGTCCAATGAGTTCACAAGATGGCGCTTTAACCCTTCTGGCTTTTTAATGACTTTTATTCTCCAGTGGAAGAGAATTAAAATGTGGAAATGTTACTGTGACCATACAGTGATTCACTAGCCCGTCAGAGCTGCATTTCTCATGAAATTATTTCCAGGAAGATATTCCCTTCCCAATGAGGACCACAATCATCCTCCGCTTACTAGCCCAACATGGATTTCCTACGACTGGTGGAGAGGATATGACAGGAGATCATTTTAAGCAGTCCTTCTGTGTCTGCCATTATGCCTAGACTGGCCTTTAAATGTTTATCACATAAATGACCAGGATTGTTATGTGTGTATATTTCAGCTTTGATGAGCAAATAAGGGGGTGGAGATGGAAGTAAAGTAGTCTTATGTTCTTCTGAGGTTTTGTAAATAGAATTCAGCAGCTGGAGAACTTCAAGAAAACACATTTGGGAATTGGGATCAGATGCATAAATCCACACCGGTTAATTTTGCCAATTCTTTCAAAAAGTTGCCTTTATCTCAAGATGGATATAAATGCCATTTTGCCAGTTTAGTGCCTTATTTAAACTACTCAAGTCATTATTCCTGGAAACCTAGCACTCACAATGAGTTCAGTCCAAAGAACCACTTTGCTGATGATAACAGTAAGTCCAGAGTAGTTCTCTTTTTTTCTGTGTTGTGTTACAAATAGCTTTTGAAACTCTGCGTGTCAAAGGAAGTCTGATGTAACACAAGGGACTCCTTTGTTCAAAGGAAAGGAAAAAACATTACAAATCTCAGTGACAATTTTTGAACTACTGGGTGACTGGGCTCCATCTGATGTCTTGGAAGCAGAAATAATACAAAAAAATAGGAGATTTTCCCTTGGATGGGGTAGAGCAGGGGTCCCCAAACTTGGCAACTTTAAGACTTGTGCACTTCAACTCCCAGCTGGCTGGAGTATTCTGGGAGTTGAAGTCCACAAGTCTTAAAGTTGCCGTGTTTGGAGACCTCTGGGTTAGAAAAAGATCTGTTGCTGCCCTGCTTTTAATTTTTCTTGGTTTGGTTCAGCAAACCATCTTTTTCCAAACCATTTATCTTAGGGAGGAAGTCCTATAGATTCACCGAAATCCTAGATGGACAGTAGCTGTCCATGGTACTGGTGCTTACAAGTAGTCCTTGACTCACAACTACTTGTTTAGTGGCCGTTTGAAGTTGGAACAGCCTCTGAAAAGGATGACCTGTGACCATTTTTCACCCTGAAGTTGCAGCATCCCCATGGTCATGTGATCAAAATCCAGGTGCTTGGCAACCGGCATGTATTTATGGCCGTTGCGCTGTCCCCACAGCCTCACCATTTGTGACCTCAGCTGGCTTCCTATCAGCAAAATCAATGGGGAAAGCCGGATTCCCTTCACGGACCCACTGAACAATTGCAGCGGTTCGCTTAACAACTGCGGCAACCAGGAGTGTGAAACCAGGCACAACTCATTTATCCACAGAAATTTAGGTCTTGATTGTGACCATTAAAGTCAAGGCCTGTCCTGGAATTCTGTGTACAGATAGCGTGTCTTAACATGCCTCTTAGCAGCTGCACAATATTGAGGTTGTGTTTGTGTGTGTGTGTGTGTGCGTGTTGGGAGAGAAGATCCTTTCCAAATATTCCGTACTCCAGCAGTCCCCAACTATCTCTTTGTGCCTTCCTGCCAATATCTGGCTTGCTATGAAAATGTCACTTTTGGCACTACAGCAGGGATGTGCAACCTCTGCAAGTTTGTAGACTTCAACTCCCAGAATTCCCCAGCCGGCATGGAATTCTGGAAGTTGAAGTCCACAGATCTTAAAAGTTGTCAAGGTTGGATAGCCCTGCATTACAGTATCCCCTGGAAGTCCTCCAAGGTAGGAATTGAGCAACTTACGTCCGACTTCATGGATTCTTCTTCCCATCGCTATAACATCCAATTTGTCAAAAATAACCTCTTTTTCATAGGTCAGCAATTTCCACTTCCTTCCCCCCCCCCCCCCCCCCCCAAAGTATTCATATCTGTGATTGTTGTCTTTGGTGCCTTTGGGAATTTTTTTTTATTTTTTACACAATGGAATCTCTACTTTTTTAGAGGGTGATTTGATGCATGACAGTTAACCTGTAATGTTGAAATTAGTGTATGGAATTATTTATTTTGTGTATTCAGACTGTTTTTAAATTTTGGAACTGTAACCTTTTATTCAGTAAAATGTTGATCCTCATAGAGTGGTGGGTTGTTGCTTTTGTTCTGGTGGGGTATGGTTGTAATACATGGTCTCCAAACTTGGCAACTTTAAGACTTGTGGACTTCAACTCCCAGAATTCCACAGCTAAACTATGCTGGCTGAGGAATTCTGGGAGTTGAAGTCCACAAGTCTTAAAGTTGCCAGGTTTGGGGGGGCCCTGCTCTAATTAAATGCAGTTGATTTTTTTTTTCAGGTGAGGACCTGCATTTCTGAACTCAAATTAATGGATGAGGATAAAAACAATTGTTTGAAAATGATTGTAGATAATACGCACTCCTGTATTCAGTAATTTTCCCCATCTATCAAACCTTGAAAGAGAAATGGCTGGAACTGCTACTGGCTTATATTTATATTTTAATAGACTTTGAGGTATGTTTTATCAAATCCTGTGAGATGGGACACCACTTCTGAAATTGTCTCCCGTTTTCCATATTTGCAGTGGTTTAATGTTTGGATGTCCAGTCAAATACTTAAAGCATGACAAAATAGGGACAAAATAGCTTATATGTGGAGCTATTTTACCAAAAGCTTAGAGATGTCAAAGCACAATGGGAAATTTTCAGTCAGAGTCTAAACCGTGACTATCTTTTTTTTAAAAAAAATAGTTTAAATTAAACAGCTGGAATTAGCTCCAGAATTCTGGTAAGGACTCTTGAAGAAAGTTACTACTGGTAGTCCTCGAGTTACAAATGTAACGGAGTCTGCCACTTACATTTGTAACCTGAGGAGTCATTGGAATGAATCACGTAAAATGAATGTGAAAACTGCCTGCCTTTTCCCACACATTTGCTAATCGAATGCTTGGGTTGTTAAGTGCACATGAGGCATCTCAGGGTAGGGAAGGCCACTGGGTGGGGTGGAGGGCTAGTGATGGAATAGACCACTTGCTTGAGACCACCCAAGTCCTCCCTTGACCCACTGAGATACCTTATGCTCCCCACAGTTGCTTTCCCCGCCCGTCTTCTTGCCGCATCTGCAAAGATCTTGTGAACTGTCTCCGCCCTGTCTGCTGCGGTTTCTTTGCCTACTCCCAGGCGCTCCAAAAGCACAGCAGTGAGAGCAGAGGGAGAGAGGGGACAAGGGCGCCCTGCTCGGCTTCTCCGCTTTTGCAGAGAATGGGTGCCTGAAGTTGTGTGAGATCACAGCCCCCGGAAGCTTCCAGTCTCGGTGGCCAAAGTGTTTGCAAGCTGATGGGACGCTTCAAAGCAACGCGACTTCACCGCCCCAAAGCGTCCCGTTAGCAAGACTGGAAGCTTTTGGGGGGCGGGGGAGACTCACAGAAGCTGCCCACCATTTCAGAAGTCAGAGACTGTTGTTAAGCAGGATGTGAACATCCTGCTCTCACCGCTCTGCTTTTGGAGTGCCAAGAACAGGGAAAGAAATTGCGGCAGAGAGGCTGGAGAGGAGACAGCTCACTAAATCTTCACAAGGTGTATCCACAGGCCCAGGGAGAATGGAATAGGCAGTGTTGTGGTTCACCGGCAGTCTGTGCAGACGACAGCGGAATCGGACAGTGGGGAAGAACGGGGACCAGCCTGGGAGTCTGGAGAGGATTCAGATGAGGGTCCTGCATCCAATGCAGAGATGGGGCCAGGATCATCTGGGAGTGGGGTGCTGCCTCCAGAGCTTTTGGAGTCTGGCAGCAGCGAGGCAGAGGACCCAGGGGAGCCTGTTCCCAGTGTGCAAATGCGCAGAGCTGCTAGAAGGCGAAAGCAGCTGAAATAAAAGGACCAACTCGAGAGTAAGGCTGGGAGGTGATTGCCCCTCCCATAAGGTATAAAGGACAGTCCAAGATGACAAAAACTTTGCAGGAAGCAAAGTCGTTCGGTTCAGATTCACTCTTGAAGGTCTTTGTACTTCGGTTGGTTTTCTTTCTAGTTCATTTGACATTTTTGTTATTGGCAGCACTTCACAGGAAAGAAAGGTGGGTGCTTATCTCAAGGGACTGAAACAAGACTTGTTTTTAAAATAAGCATGTGTGTAATTACAGTCTCAGAAGCCTTGGTCAGAACAGGCAGGGGGAATGTTGCATTGCCTCTGTGGTCGTTCATAAGGGTGAACGACCACTGTGTGGGGGCCAACATTCGCAACCTCGGGACTGTCGTAAGTACTTTGTTGGGGTGTGTGTGTTATGTTATAACTTTGAACAGTTGCTAAGTGAACGGTTGTAACTCAAGGATTACCTGTAATTTATTTCATTTTATTATGACAGATGATCATTGGAGGAAGATTTTTTTTCTTTGAAATGAAAACGGATGTGTTTTTTTCCATGGGGGAGGGTGGGCGGAATCCCAGTGACAGCGTTGGTCTTGTGTTTCCCATGGGTGTCATCAATTTCTAGCTACTGTTTGGTCAATCCAGTTGCGGAATTTGGAGACGCGGGCGTAGACAGCAGGAGTCCAGACGTTACAGTTGGGGCTTCCCCAGGAGACGATGCCAACCAGAGTCCAGCTGGAGCCTTTCTGGCATACCAGAGGACCACCAGAATCGCCCTAAAAGGAAAATGCAAGTGCTTTTAAGAAAACTCTCTTTTTTTTAAGCCTAGGGTCAGAAAAAATTAACCAAGGAGGAGCCCAATTTGTACCAAAGGTGCTTTTTTTCAAAAGGCGACTGGACTTCCTTTGTTTATCCTTGAAGGCCTTTTGTTTCTCACCCAAGAAGCTTCTTCAGTCCTTCAATCAGAAGCGAAGAAGCTTCTTGGATGAGAAGAGAAAGGCCTTGAAGGAAAAAAAACAAGGAAAGTCCCAGCTGCCTTTTGAAAAAGCACCTCTGGTGCAGCCATGGCCTGGATGACTGAGAATCTCCATAGGCAGCCCAATTTGTATTCGAATAAGAGTCTTCTAGAGAAATCAAAGATTGCAAACTACCCTGGAAAACTGAAATAGTGTCCTGGAAGAAGGCAGCAGTGGTCAACCATTTTTGTTTGGCTGCCAAGAAGACCACAGAGTCATGTCCTTGATGCCACCAGGAGTTGACCTCAACCCAAAGGAGATGAATTTGACCTTAAAAAGCCATTTGAAACTTTTCAGATCATGATTGGCACTTGGATATCCTTTGAGTAAATGGAACTCTTAAGACCTCCTCCACAGTGGTGGGATTCAAACATTTTTTTCTCCCGGTTCTGTGGGCGTGGCTTGGTGGGCGTGGCAGGAGAAGGATACTGCAAAATCCCCATTCCTTCCCCACTCCACTAACCTGCTTTCCAGCTCCGTTCTCCTGTGCAGGGCAACCAAAGGAGACCCAGCCACTCAGATGGGACTCAGTGGGAGGCAGAGAATAAATGGGGGCAGGAGCAGTCAGAGGTGGTATTTGCTGGTTCTCCAAACTACTCAAAATTTCCACTACCGGTTCTCCAGAACTGGTCAGAACCGGCTGAATTCCACCTCTGCTCCTCCAGTAGGGCCAAAGGTATGAAAAACCTGAAGAATATTACTGAGTGCATTTCTCTACCAAGCTGAATCCAGGGCTGGATCAAAGAACCTCCCTCTCACAGTTGAATATGCTCCTGTACTGTCCAGACAGTATAGAGTTAATGGGATTTGGGATAGTTAGTTAGGATTTGAGAGTTGTCCCCTTAAGGGAATGCATCATGGTAAATGTAGTTAAGGTATCCTGGGAAATGTAGTTCATGTCATGTGGCCACATCTGTAATCCTGATTGGTCACTAAATTGACCCTTGTTGGGTTGGGGGAGGCTCCCTCTCTCTTGCCTGAACACACAGCCTCATGGTAGTAGCTAACCCCTGCCTCTATTACTATGGGATGAAATATGGAATAGAAAGATTATGATCACTTTACTATTCTGTCTTATGATTCACTTGCTGACTATAAAGACAGATAAGAATAACTCTACAAATCCTTCCATACAAAGTTTTTCTTTTATTGGATTATATTAGGTATCCTCAAGGTGACTCACAGTTATGTCGAGATGCATCTAATGCCCAATTCTTTGCATAGTTGAAATTGCAGTGTAAAATGATAGTAATTTTCTATTCCATATTTCATCCCATAGAAGTAGAAGCAGGGGGTAGCTGCTACCACGAGGCTGTGTGTTCAGGCAAGAGTGAGGGAGCCTCCCCCAACCCAACAAGAGTCAATTTAGTGACCAATCAGGATTACAGATGTGGCCGAATGTATAGAGTTATTCCCTCTGTCTTTATATTCAGCAAGTGAATCATAAGGCAGAATAGCTCCCCCGATCCTATCTTTTTTACAGAGAACCTTACATGGCAGGATGTGGCACCAGCTCCACCCGCACATAACATAGAACTGGTGATCGGTTTGGGAAGTTTTTGCTGGCACACGTCTACCGGCACCAAAGGAAGAACGACTTGCTGTAATATGACTGCGGATTGTTGTGCTGGCAAAAAGAAAGAAAGGAAAAAAAAGAAATATCAGTGGGGAGGAAAGCAACCCAGTTGGAATTGTCAGGTTGAATTAAAGAAGAAGGCAGGCTGGTGTCTTCGCTCTTTGATTTGGCTTTTCTCAGCCCACTTACAATTCAGATTGTTCCGTCCCCAACCGGTTGTGACACACTTGGAACCTTGGGGTAAAACTTCCGTGGGAGAAGCCAGGCGGACCGGAGAAATGTAGGCATTCAGCTGCACTGGACTAGACAGCTTCAATAGGGCGACGTCGTTATTTAGATTGTAGGAGTCCCAGTCAGGACGAGTGATGACCTGGAAAAAAAATCAGGAGCGGGAGGAGAAATCTTAAAAGATTGTAGTCTCTGCTTGATTTAAGATCTCAGAAGTCCGTCGCTCCCTGTTAGGCCCTTGAGAGTTTTTTTCCATTCGAAAACCAAGATGATCAGCAATGCAAAACTGATAGCTGTTGGCATTTCTGAATGGAAACACCAGGTAGAATTCTCTATATTGCCTTTAGATTTTAATCTAAAAATCACATTTTGTATGAGTGCTATCTTGTCCTTTGTTAAGAATCTCTAAAGGAAAATAAATAAGTAAAAAGAAAATAAGAGCAGGAAAAGAGTTTGAAGTTTTGCCAACTTAGGGTACCCCAGATTTACCGGACTGCATCTTCCATCATACCCAATATCATCAGAGCGTTGAGAATTATAGTCTAGCGCAGGCATCTCCAACCTCGGTGACTTTAAGCCTAGTGGACTTCGCTTCCCAGAATTCCCCAGCCAGCTTTGCTGGCTGCAGAATTCTGGGAATTGAAGTCTACCAGGCTTAAAGTCACCAAGGTTGGAGACCCCTGGTCTAGTACATTTAGAAAACTTAAGCTGGAGAAAATTTAGTGTAGCTGCTGTCTTAATACAACGATAGCTGGAACAAATGTTTAAGATGCTAAAACTCTAGAAAGAGTCCAGAGAAGAGCAACAAAGACAATGGTTTGGAGGCTAAAACAGACGCTGAGTAGGAACTAGGTATGTCTACTCTGACTAACAGAAGGACAAGGTGTGGCATGATAGCATTCTTCTGGTAACTTGAGGACCAGTCACAGGGAACAAGGGGTTGACATACTCGCCTGGCCTCAGAAGGCAGGGCGAGAAGTATGGAAGCTTATCAAAGAGAGATCCAACTTAGAATTAAATCCTTCCCTGAGAACAATGAGTCAGTGGACTGACATGCCTCCAGAAATTGGGTGTGCTTCATCACTGGAATTCTTAAGAATAGAGACAGCCAGTGGTCCAAATAGGCTGTCCTGCTTGAGTGCGGGGAGGGGTAGACTAGAAGACCTCCAAAGTCCCAACCCTGTTATTCTATATTCTGTGTTATAATAGGAAGGAAATACACGATTAAAATAAATATGGGTCTGCAGATATTGAAAGAGACAATACTAGACTGAAATAAGTTATGTCATAATGAAGGTAAGGAAGGAAAGTCAAGAGCCATTATCCTGGACCACGTTACATCAATGCTTACTTTGACTTAGCAAAGCCAACCACCATCATTTGCCAACCAGCTTTTATAACTTAATGTAGAGTGAACCAATTAGGCCAACAAACCATGGATTAGCATAAGTGTTTGTCAGGACATCCACAACTGTCTGTTGTGGGATGAGCATCAATAAATCATTTTAAATGGTTTCCATTACAAACCACATAGGATTACACGCTGATTGGGAGGTTGGGACCAAAAAAACAAGTAAAGATGAGGATTATGTGATCTTACTTCTATCCTTGATGCCTAAATGTGCTTTCCTTGTATGACATAGTCCCAAATGAGCCACTCACCTTGATTATGGATCGCCACTGGACTGGCGCAGCATTATCAAGTCTGTTATGCAGTCCAACGAAAGCAAAATGTACTCCCGGTCTGGAGAAATAAAAACACAACTCTTGTCTAACATGCTATTGTGACCTTTTTGTCTCCGATGCATACATGCAGCTAAACTGAACATTGAGATACTGTAAAGCAATCCCTTGGTGCTGGGGATGGAAAAAACAGGGTAGGGTAGGATAGAAAATAGAACAGAAATAAGAGTAGAGGAGTGTAGAAATGGAACAGAAATAGAAATGAGTGGAATGGAAAATGAGAATAGAATGGAATGGAATGAAATAGGAGAAAATGGAATGGAAATGGGAATGGAATGGAATAGGCATGGAGCAGAACACAACAGAATAACTAGAGCATACAAAACATTTGCTAGACCAATACTTGAATACAGCTCATCAGTCTGGAACCCGCATTACGTATCTGATATTAACACAGTTGAGAAAGTCCAGAAATATTTCACAAGAAGAGTTCTCCACTCCTCTACTCGTAGCAGATAGGCTCTCGTAAATAGATAGCCTCTAATTGAGATTCAAATTCTTGAATCTCAGATCGTTTTGGTGATTCGGTAGTTCAGAAAGGGATAGAATAGTTTGGAGAGGCAGATGGGCAAAGCGGTGGTTAAATCAGATAAGACCTTTTGATGGACAGGTCAAAGGCTAGAATTCTCTTTCATCTTTATGGGAGGGATACAGTCTTAGAGCAGACAAAAGTTGTCCAACCTTAGCAACTTTTAAACTTGGGGATTTTTAATTCTCAGCCTCTGATGATTCCAAATAAGGAAGAAACTGGTAAGATGGTGCCTCTAGGACGGGGATCAATATAACAAGAACATGGAAAGGATGTACTTACTTCACATTGCAGTGAGCAGCTGTAACAACCCAATTCTCATTGATCAGGGAACCTCCACATATATGGAAACGTGAGTTAGTCTAGAACAAAAAATGAAAATAGCACAGATTTGGAATGCACCAAGGATAAAATGCATCCAGAAAACAGGTCGTTGGGCAAATTTACACTCCTAATTTTTTCCTTCCTTGCTCCCCCCTTTCATTTTTTTGAGGACTGAACTAAACAGAACAGGAAAAAAACAACACCTGTAGTTCACCTTTTCCAACTGGAACGAATCTCAAGTATGGATATGAGTGAATTCTAAAGCCAGGTCCAACTGGCACTTAATCTGAGCCTTCTTCTCACTTTGGATGCAAAAGTAGCAGCAAATAAACTCTACATAAATCTGTCTTTAAAAAATCCAAACACACTCTTCTACCAGAAAGAATATACAATACTAAAAGTTGCACACAAATAGTTAATTTTCTTTTTAAGTTTGCATAACAGAGAAAGGTAAGTTTGATTTTATTTTTGAAAAATCAGTTTATATTTTAAAACATCATTTTTAGGAGCTTCAGGAAATGGGAGATGCATAGAAGCACCTGCATATGTTCTGAAGCTCAGCAAAAATGAGATTTCCACATTTTTTAAAAAAAATATAAAACTCTCTACCAGGTAGGAATACTGTGTTATTAACAAGAACAAAATTTTAGTCATTTATTCTGGGGCAGCCTATTTTTACGAGTAACAGATTTACTAAAACCATCCAGAGTTTAAACTCGGATTAGTAGAGTTGTGACGTCTTTTTCCCACTTCAAGGATCATTGTGAGGAAAATACCCATTTAAGGAAGGGGCTAGTGGTTATCTGGACTCTCTAAAAATGACTATCTAACATTGCAAAACTAGTGAATTATAACACAACCTTTACTGAAGGAATATAGAATCTGACAACCATACGGAGTGACTGAATTATAGTTTGACTCCACATTCTGCTCTTCTAAAGAGGCTCCAAGACTGCCCTTGCTATACTATCATAGCACCTTCTAACATAAACTCTCTTTTTATGACCCTGTAATCCCTTAATCTAAGGTAGAGTCAGGGCGGACTGGATGGAATTGAGCATTTACTGGCCAGATGCCCTTCCTGACACCTACACAGGAGTTCACAGCACATATTTTTTTTTCTTTGTGCCTTAGGAGTGAAACATATACCACTGCCTAGGGCCGAACTCTCAACCTTATGAATGTGAGGCAACTGTCTTCACCATTAGGCCACCATGCCATTCTACCTTCTATCATAAAAAATGTCCTTTAATTGTGCCCACATATTGACTCAATTCAACCCGACAACAACTCGGTGTTCATCCTCTATCTTCTTCCATTCCAGGGTCCTCGGGCAGTTTTAGTTTGCCTGCTGTGCCTAAAGTGCAGTTCAGCATCTTGGATAGAAGGAGAATAGTACTTCTCCCCCACACTACTGACCTACCAGTGATCGCAAGAGATGTCCTTACATAGTGCTTGTCCTCCATACTATTGATCTACTAGTGATGTACTCACCTGTAGTGAGACTTGCCAGGGCCAAGAACCACGATTGGCATCCATCCCGTTGATAATTCTCTCTGTATTTTTCACATTGGGCTTAATGGCTGGGATCCCATCGCATATGAAAAGGCAAAGAGAGGGTCAATCTGGTAAGTATCTCAGATCTGGACTGAGTAGCCTTCTGTGAGGATCCTCCAAGGTTGTGGAGGATTGTTCAGATTTGTTCATTCGCTTTGACAAGCTCAGAGAAACCAGAAGCTACACGCCGCTGGTTGCTTGTTATGCATTAGGCTACAGAATAGGGGCCTTTTCATTTTTCAGGTTGAGAAAGCCACAATTGGCCCTTGAGTAGTACGTGAGGCAGGGCCCCCATTCTGAACATTTGCAGGACAAAGTAGGGCCAAAGCAAACTTGATTTAACTCTGCATGAATGTCCATTTCAGTCTAAACAAACTGTCCGCAACGTTGCTCCCTATATGGTTAATCGTGTCCTCCTTTGTCTGCACCTGACATTGTATAATAGAGTGATTTTTGGGGGGGGGAAAGGCACTGCTGGCATTGGAAAAAGCAACCCAAAGAAGGTGATGGCAAGCTGTTTGAACTGCCAGAAAACTACCTGCATGCCTCATGGGCATCATTCACAGTTCCTCTTTAAAGAAGGGTACCGAAACCCCACAGAGTGGTAGCTGGAAGCATTCTTCCTTTCCCAGCCTGTTCTTTTTTTTTTTTTTTTTTTTGCAAGAGAGGACTTTCAAGCAAGCAGGCCTGTGAATTAGGCAACGTGCGTTGTGCACCTGTGTGTAACATGTTGCAAGCAATGAACTTAAGCATTACCCCCCCCCCTCATGCATGTTCCATCAGCCGTGATGAAAGCATAGGAAGCAACCAACCAACCTAGAAAGGCAACCCATACTTTACTCACCACAGGCAACATCAAGGAGCACTAGGTAAGTGAGAGACGCCCACAGAAAAGTCATTTTGGTTGCTACTCCCTGGAGTTTTAGGTCCTGGGTGCTGCTAGGTTTTTATTTCTATGACCTGTGGCGCTTTGCCAGGTGCGGCTGACTTCCACTCCCCACATCCTTGGATTGATGATAGGAGGAGCAGATTAAATTTAGCCTTGGTTGCATCGGGCAGGTGTCTTTTCAAGAACGTTTCACCAACAGTGCCCCAGCGTGTGCAAACTACACCTGTTTCCCATAACGGTTTTTTTTCTTTCTTTCAAGCTGAACAGCAAAGCCAAAAGCTCCTTGTTGGCCATTTGTAGAGTTTTCAGACTTAGCCCAATCACCACCTTTGCCTTCTTTTCCACCCAACCATTGCTAAAGCCTTTCCTGGTAGTCTCCTTAACATCTCCTAACACCCTTTCTCCAGGAAGTCCAGAGACTCGAACTGGGGCCCTTTCTGGGAAGACCGTGCATTGTTGCCTGTGATGTAGCTCCATTCTGCAGAACTGCTGACATCAAAACATCTTACTCAACCTTCTAGGAATTGGGCCATAGGCAAGAATCCTCGAAAAGGAAGTAGACTGGAGAAAGCCTCTCTATTTCTCATGTACTTCTGTTGCAGAACCAATCAGGATATCCCAGGCTGAGTTTAAAAAAAAAAAAAACCCCAAACCCTCTTTTTAAAAGAAACTGGTCCTTGCCAAAGAGATCTTCTTCTTCTTCTTGGGGAGCATATTGACTCCGCGGTGATCCTGTACATTTGTCCTGGAGCTTCTTTTGCCTTTAGACAAGACTATATGGACATACAATGACCTTACTTTATGTCACAGGGACACCACCGACCAACCAGACTACGGAAACTCTGAAGGACAAAGTCATTCCAACTATGTTCCTCACTATGTGCTTCTTGATTGGGGCTCCTGGCAATGGTCTCGTGATCTGGACTATCCTTTCCAAATTCCCCCAGCGCTCCTTCACCATTGCCCTCATCCTGAACTTAGCTGTGGCTGACTTACTGGTAATATTGACGGTGCCTTTTTGGACTTACTATTTCGTCAAAGACTGGGTTTTTGGGAACTTCATGTGCTGGTTCCTCATGTACCTCGTGTGTTTGACCGTCTACACCAGCATCTTCTCCATCACATTAATGAGCCTCCACCGCTTTGCGGTGGTGGTCCTTCCATTTGCTTCCCAAAGATGGAGGAAGCCAAGGGAGGTGTATGGGATCATGCTAGCTGTTTGGTTGCTAGCCGGGCTTCTCTCCTGCCCGTGTTTAATATTCTCATACAAAAAGATGCCCGAAGGAAAGTGCACAGATGAATTTTACAACTCGGACAACCAGCAGCTCGCGGTTAACATAGTGGAGACACTGTTTGCCTTTGTGATCCCTTTTGCTGTGTTGGCCGTCTGCTACACATACGTGGCGAGAAAGATTCGGACTCTGAAAAACCACAAGGAAATGAAAACCGGGAAATTGATTGCTGCAGTTGTTGGAGCCTTCTTTGTTTGCTGGCTTCCTTATCACATCTTAAACCTCATCACCATCTCTGCATTGTTGCTGAGGCATGCCAAGCCCGAGGTCAGCCAGAAGTTACTTGAGTCCATTAAAACTTTAGCCAACATGCAGGCGACGGTGGCCTTTGTAAGCAGCTGCATCAATCCTATCCTCTACGCTTTTGCTGCACGGAGTTTCCGTGGAGGGTTACGCGAGACTAATTTTGCAAAACTGTTTGAAAAACTGCGCAACGACACGGAGGAAAAAGTAACCAAGGCCAATACTGTTTCCATGCAGACTTTGTAGTTCAGGAAGAACTGGGAGCAAAATTGGATTAGCAAACTCTGTATTTTCTGAATTGAATGCAATTGTTGCATCTAGAAAGGGCTACAAGGGAAGATGTTAGATAAAAGATTTTAGAGGATATAGAGAAACTGAGGTGAGAACAAAGGCGTTCAGAGAACTATTTTAGTTTCGAATATTGACAATTCCATGATGGCAATTTGGGGAAGTTTTATTTTCTCCTGTGTAACTTGTTTATTATTTCATTTGTTTTCCCCAGGTAGTTATATTGCTTTACTCCTCCCTTCAGACCAATTCTACAGAAGGAATTAGTAATGTTTGCTTCTTATGGCTTACTGTATCCAGGTCTAAACCAACTGTAGCTAGACTTTATTGGAATTAAAAAAAAAAAACACACACACGTTAAACTCTAGTTCATGATCCTGACTTATCTGCTTAATTAAGCTTGAATTAATATCTGGCTTACTCAGAACAAAAGGTATTTTTAAGGAAAACGCTCAAGTCAAACTTTCTAGTCTTTCTTCAAGGGTATGAAAAGATGAAGGCGAAACATGTGGTTTGCCCTTTCTGCTAAGTTATGGGTTATTTTGCCACAATTAGCTGAATCATGCAACGTATTAAGTCACAAGGGTTGCTATACCAATCCCAAACCAATTTATAGTTTAGTGCAGTGTATGAATTTCTTCAGTGACTCAAAACCATATTTTAATGTTGATCAGATCAATGTGAGGTGAAGCATTTCCACGCATTTGTTGAGTTCCTCTTGAGTGGGAATGTTACCATGAGAAAAGGATTTGATAAGGGTCTGGTAAGACACTTCCTGAAAATGCATGTTTTGCGGTCAACCTATTTTACTCTGGCAATGCATCACTTCCTGTTGTGATTTCAAAGAGTGTATAGCAAGAATCTGTTTTTCTTGTTGGTGTTTTGGGGAACAGTAATGGTTAATAGAGAGAATTGACTCTGAATGTCAGTAATCTCTGGAACCAAATCCCATTTCACTAAGTCTTTAAAATAGTTAATTAAAACATCCGAACCCAGTTCCAACTGTTGCTTGCTTTCTTCCTGCTTCTCAAGACAACTGATGCTCAGTATTTTATTTATGAGGGGTGTATTTTCTACTCTACGATATATTCAATTCTGCATCACCCTGAACAATGAGAAAGAATGGACATAAAAAGCACCTAGTGACTAAAAGTGGGGTTGCTGCTGACCATTAATAAGTGTCCCAAGTTATTTCCCACACTATATGGTATATTGCAAATATGACTTTGTCCCAGAAAAACCAATGGGCTCCTGCGACTGGAAACAGAGTGGAAAACAATTCAGTTACTATTTGTCTGAAAAAAAAATATCTGTGCAAAAATCACGTTAGACTCTTCTTTTGCTGCCTGTTATCAGATTCATGGATATGGTGGGGTTGCTGGTGAAATAAAGGCTTTCTATGGCTAGTAGCTAGGATCACCATACATTATTTCTGGTACAAGAGTAAACATAGCCCTTGATAACAGTTGATGGGGAACATGAGCAGTAGGGCATTATATCCCTTGTTTCAGTGGTGGTATTCAAACTTTTTTACTACCGGTTCTGGGGCGTGGCTTGGTGGGTGTGGTGTGGCTTGGTGAGTGTGGCAGAGGAAGGATACTGCAAAATCTCCACTCCCTCCCCATCCCACTTATCTCAGCCTCTGTGCTTATTTCTATTATTATTTTTCTTTCTTTGTTGCATGGAGGAACTTTCCGTAATCTCACACCTGTGTTTTCTTTAATCAGTCTTTATCCTTCCTTTCCTTACGCCCCGCAGATCCCAAGGGAAAAACCTTGAGGGCTGCAGCTGGGTGTCAAGACTTGGGAATGGTTGTGGTGGGACTGTGATCGTCTCTTCACAAGCAGTAGCCTTTGTTGAGGGGGGGAAACTAATATCCTCTATCCCAGAGGTTTTCAAACTTGGCAACTTTAGACTTGTGGACTTCAACTCCCAGAATTCTCCAGCCAGCAGAGCCCACCCTTGGCCACTTGTGGATAGGCCAACGAAAGAAAAAGCAGAAGGAGTAAAGAGACTCGTCTGGTTTAAAATACAGGTAGTTCTTGACTTACAATTGTTCATTTAATGACTGTTCAAAGTTACAACGGCACCGAAAAAAAGGTAACTTGTGTTTTGACCATTGCAGCAACTTACGACGCGATCAAAATTCGGATGCTTGGCAACTGACTCATATTTACGACGGTTACAGTTTCGGGGAGTCACGTGATTCCCCCGCTTGCGACCTTCCGACAAACACAGTCAATGGAGGAAGCCAGATACGCTTCACAACAGTGTCCCTAACTTCACAATGGCAGTGATCCACTTAAACAACCGTGGCAAGAAACTTCGTCAAAAATCCACTTCGTGGAATGTTTCCCTTAGCCAGGGGTGGGATTCAAAAATCCCAGCCGCCGGTTTGCTGCCTGGTTGCTGGTGGGTGTGGCCATGATGGGCGTGGCCTACTGGAACTTCCTGTTTGCGGCTTCCGGTGGGCCTCAGGAGCCCGGGGAGGCCCCTGGGCCTCTGGGAGGGTGAAAACTGCCTCACCCGGGCTCTGGAGGCCCTCTGGAAGCCAGAAACAGGCCCATTTCCAGACTTCCAGAAGGCCTGGTTTTACCTCCATCAAAAATGGGCCACGTGGAGACTCTCGGGAGGGGTGGGGTAGGCAGGGAGAGCCAGTTGATTGAAATACCAGTTCGGTGAACCGGATGTAACTTTAACATCTGGTTTGCCTGAACGGATCTGAACCGATAGAATCCCACCCCTGCCCTTAGCCGTAGAAAGTTTGGGCTCCACTGTGATCATAAGCAGTGGTGGGATTCAAATTTTTTTACTACTGGTTCTGTGGGCATGGCTTGATGGGTGTGGTTTGGTGGGCGTGGCAGGGGAAGGATACTGCAAAATCCCCCTTCCCTCCCCACCCCACTAACCTGCTTTCCAGCTCCGTTCTCCTGTGCAGGGCAACCAAAGAAGACCCAGTCGATCAGCTGGGACTCATTGGGAGGCAGAGAATAGATGGGGGTCGGGCCAGTCAGAGGTGGGATTTGCCAGTTCTCCAAACTACTCAATATTTCTACTACCGGTTCTCCAGAACTGGTCAGAACCGGCTGAATACCACCTCTGATCGTAAGTCGAGTACAACCTGTATCGGCAAACTTGCATCTGGCCACACAAAATGGCGCAGGGCTTGTTGGTATCGTAGGTAAGGTTTTTCCACCTTGCCTGCAGACTGGTGGATTCAGACAGGCTGGCAAGACAGTTGGCGGCAGGAGTAGCAGCTACAGTTAGCGGGCTCTCAGGCACATTTGGACTTGCCAAGGCAGAAGGGCAGCTCTGGAGCAGGAACCAAGATATTGCTGAAAACGGGATCGTAATTCTCCGGTAGGACTTGCGGATTCTGTGCCATGATTCCCAGCACGTGATTGCAGATTTCTTTGGAGATGTCGCCCCGCAAGTAGAAGAACATGGAAATGTGGTCCTCGCTGGAGAAACAAGATGGAAGATAAGCGTGTTACACGATTTTACAGCGGACGCGAGAAAAGACTTCAAAACCAACTTATCATCATGGAACCTTGTATGGCGAGCTCTTCCAATCAATCAATGGAACAAAAGTTGCCTTCGGAAGTTGTGGGAGCACTGGAGGCTTTCAAGAAGAGACCAGGCTGCTATCTGCCAGAAAGGGTGTAGGGTCTGCTGCTTGGGCAGAGGGTTGGACTAGATGACCTACAAGGCCCCTACAAATATGAATCTGAATAAGCAGCCCTGAGGGAGAAGTCTCTCAGAGATGTATATAAGAGATTATACACACACACACAGACTCACACACAAATGAACACACAAGGAGGTGGCTTTTTCTTTGGTTTATTCTTCTGTCAACTCTGCGAGAAAGCCTGCAGATCGATGAACGAAGGAGTTCCTCTGCAGGATAGTTTATTTGCTATCGGTTTTCCCTGCTGCAATCTTCTTCAACCCCAGGCTTTCCCCTAGAATATACCGCAACGAATATACTGATCCTAATAATGCAGCGTGCCTTCAGTCTCTTGAAAACTCTTGGAAAATGTCCTCCCTTTCTGATTGGGGATGGGGCAGTAGCAGGACAGAAAAATATTACAAAACAGAATATTTATAGCTGAAGGTTGAACTGTGGAGTCCTTGGTGCTGTTGGAGCTTGGTTATTTTCTCCAAGACGGTTCACTACCCAACTAGGTAACATCTTCAGTGCGAGAAGAGTGCTTGCTATTTATGTACAATGGCTTGCTCTGTCCATGTTGGTGGGAACATTCACCCGTATTTAAACAGAAATCAAGTCTGCAAGAAAACAACCGAGCTCTGAGTGTACCAAGAATTCCACAGATATTGTACATATCCATCCACATTTGTAAGCTGCCTTTTCTAATGACTTCTTGTTACTAATAACACCGTATATGACACTTAAAGCAAATGTAAAGAATAGAAATGCTTCACGATAAATAAAACAATCAAGTACTGATTCCTAGTTATTCCTGTGGTCCAATATTCATATCCTGAGCACCTGGTGTCAAAAGAAGACTATAGCAGTTTCTGAGTTTCTCATTCAGTCCCAAAGATTAGATGCCAGAGGATGTTGCAATCGGAAGATGGAAAATTCTCCTTTTCTTCACCACTTGGGTGTCCTACCTGATATCAGGATATTTTGACACGAATCCCAGCACTTCCAGGCCAAGCATAGAAGGGTCCTTGAGGCTGATGATTTGCTGCAGATCTGCAATGACTTGGAGGGACAGTTTGTCCTCCTCCAAGCCCTGGGAAGAAAAGGAGACCAGGTAGCTCACAACCAATACAGCCACTTCTCCTTTTAAAATAGAGCAAAACTCAACTCAGCTGCAATCTCATGCCCGCAAAACAGAAGATTGAAAGGGATGTAGGGGAGAATTGTACAAAAGCAATCGAGGAAGGCTGGCAACAGTAGGCATAGACCAAAGGGAACTACAGCAAGGTTTCCGTGCTATATAAACAGTCAACCAGAATATCTATGGAGAGTCTCAGTCCTCCAGGTCAGTGGTCACCAACTAGTGGGCTGTGGATCACTGGTGGTCCACAAGAAAATTTTGGCGGTCCACAGAGAAATGTCACCCCAAAGCACCCCCCAAAGCAATTAATCCAGGCTGTGCAGGAACACAAGGCTTGTATTGTGAACAACACCAGGTAGTAAGGAGAGGGGGGAAAGGGCAGAGGGGGGAAACTTGCCCCACTCACTTCATGCACCTGGCCTGGCCGCTGGGCTGCTTCTTTCCGCTTCTTTCTTCTTCTGCTTTTGGCAGCACGCAAGGAAAGCAGCAAAAGTCTTTCTTTCTCTCTCCCAAACTCTGCCAGAAATGAGTCTTTGGAACCCTGCAAGGCCTCCTGCTCCAAGATGCTGCGCTGGCACAACACGTCTCACAAAGACTCATTTCTGGTAGAGTTTGGGGGAGAGAAAGAAAGACTTCTGCTGCTTCTGCTGCTTTCCTTGCATGAAGCCAAAAGTCTCTCTCTCTCCCTGTGAGAACGGAGCTGGAGACGGTATCCTGCGATCCCAAATAAAGAATGATCGATCGGTAGGAAAACGGGGTAGGGAATTTTCCTGCAGACTTTTGGGGGGGATTTTCCCAGGGTCTCTGGTCTGTGGGATTTAAAAGTATGAGTTTGGTGGTCCCTGAGGTCCAAAAGGTTGGCAACCCCTGCTCTGAAGAAGAAGAGCTATGGAAGCTTCTTGGATTAGAAGTGAAACATCTTCCAAGAAAAAAAAAACAGAAAGTCCCATTGCCCCTTGAAAAAAAAACACCTTTGGGACAGTCAATCAGAAATAAAAGTGCACATATTTATTTAAGTTTATTTAATCACCAAATCAACGACCAGAAAACATTTGGAATCACAAATGTTACTTCCAGTTGACTGTTGGTTTTTTTTTTTTTTTAGGATGGGTACTTTATTGTGGTTTATTTGGTCTATGCCAATTGCCGCCAGTCTTCTTTGATTGCAGTGGCTACAAACCTAGTTATTATTATTATTGCTATTATTTTGCAATTCTCCCTTCCACCACTTCTGTTTTGTGGCTATGAGGTTGCAGTGTTGAGTTTTAGCCTATTTTTAAAATGGCACGAACCATGAAAATCCTTCTGCCTTATTGCCTTATTGGGTTGTAATAGTCATTTCCCCTTACCCTTGTTTGGCCAAATTAGTCTGCCTCTCCTCCAGGAATTCCCACCCTCTCTTTTGCCGCCTTTCTACCTTGGCTGGGAAGTTGTGGTGGCTTTTATCCCTCACCCTTTTTTCTCACCAGGGCACAGAAGAGTTCCTTTAGCTGAGAGGTATCCTGCAGCATTCTTGCAGACATCTTGCTCCTCTCTTCGGCTGTTTGACACGTCATCCGTTTCTGCAAAAGGGACTTCACATATTGGCTCATGACCAGGTGCTCAGCTTCTGACAGCAGGTACTGTTAGTGGGCGTTATAGGAGAAAGGGGGGGAAAAAAAAAAGAGGCATAGTGTTTCTGGATATGGCCGAAATCCAGTTTGCGAGTATGTCCCCTCGCTAACTAACCCGGATTGTTCTGAGCTGAAACTTAGGAAACCCTCCTTTAGGGGAAGGATTTGTGTAAAAAAGATTCTGGTTTCACTCTTGGCATTTCCAGATAGGACAAAATGGGCGCCTACAACGCTGAGATCAGGTGTAATGTTTGACTGAATTTTTCGCTATCCCTCTGCACGTCATCAACAATGTCTCTTTTCTGTAGAGCTTGGGTGAGAGAGAAGGGGATGTACAATATAAAGGGCAAAAGAAAAAAAAATATCTAAAAGAGGGAGGAAATGATGAAAAAAGGGGGATTTCCAGCTCCCCCCCGCCCCCGTTCCTCACTGCGTTTATCCCATCTGTCATATGGTATCTTATAGATTATCTTTGCAATTTTGAAATATAAAAAGGCTATCCACTTGAAGTTGAAACAATTAAAGACCTCATCCTGTAATATCTTTGTTCCTCTTTGTCTCATTTGCACATAATGTTTAGATTCTCCTTCATTCAGAGCTTCGGTGGCGCAGTGGTTAGAGGGCAGTACTGCAGGCTACTTCTGCTGACTATTGGCTGCCTGCAATTTGGCAGTTCAAATCCTGCCAGGCTCAAGGTGGACTCATCCTTCCAAGACGGGTAAAATGAGGACCTAGATTGTTGGGGGCAAGAGACTGACTCTGTAAACCACTTGGAGAGGGCTGGAAAGCACTGTGAAGCGGTATATAAGTCTAAGTGCGATTGCTAATTGTCTCTTGTTTTGCTAACAGACTGACCTACCATTAGGCTTGTGATGATCGCAGGATGATGCTCACCCTGGACTTTTAGTGGATACAGTGGTGGGATTCAATTTTTTTTACTACCGGTTCTGTGGGCGTGGCTTGGTGGGCGTGGCAAGGGAAGGATACTGCAAAATCTCCATTTTCTCCTCACCCCACTAACCTGCTTTCCAGCTCCGTTCTCCTGTGCAGGGCAACCAAAGAAGACCCAGCCGATCAGCTGGGACTTAATGGGAGGCAGAGAATAGATGGGGTTGGCGGGGCCGGTTCTTCAAATGACTCAAAATTGGCCGGTTCTTCAAATGACTCAAAATTGGCCGGTTCTTCAAATGACTCAAAATTTCTGCTACCAGTTCTCCAGAACTGGTCAGAACTGGCTGAAGACCAACTCTGAATGGGTAGATCTTTCCCATTCCCAGCATCAATGTCCCCAGCAGTGGCCAGGATCTTACCATGCTGACAGGTTTGTGAGTTCTGCCGAAACCTTCCACATGCTTGTCAATCACCTCGCAGATGTTGTTCATCAGCTGACAGTCATCCAGCAGCCACTGGCGGGAGGGGAACTGGGCAAAGAGTGGCTGGAACAGACCACAAGAGAAGCCACGTCTTTCTTCTCCTCTTATTTAGAGGAGCTCAGAAAAGCATTCCAAGGAGCAAAAAAAGAGAAAATGCTAGCAGCTGTTAAACAAAAGTTAATCTACAGGGAGTTCTCGATTTATGACGGCAACTGAGCCCAAAATGTCTGTTGTTAGGGGAGACATTTGTTAAGTGAGTTTTGCCCCACTTTATGACCTTTCTTGCCACCATTACTAAGCGAATCACTGCAGTTGATAAGTTAGTAACTTGGGTTGTTAAGTGAATCTGGCTTCCTCCTTGATTTGCTTGTCAAAAGGTTGCAAAAGGGGATCAGGTTACCTTGGAACACAGCAACGGTCATAAGTGTGAACCAACTGCCAAGCAATCGGAATTCTGCCCACTTGAGCATGGGGCTGCCAGAAAGGTCGTAACTGTGAAAAATGGTCATAAGTCACTTTTTTCAGTGCCACTGTAACTTTGAATGGTCACTAAATAAACTGTTGTAAGTCGAGGACTACCTGTATTTGAGAATAATGCTATTACTATGAGATGCAAGGCTATACAAGTAGACTCGGAAAGAGCCACCACTACAGACAGACGTAGAGGCTGAAAAAAACCCCAACCAACTGGTTTGCTTTGATCTCTATTGTAATAGGGCTCAGAGGTTAAAAATAGTTGAGCTTCTCAGCTAGAAAGCTGGCAGCTAGAGGTTTAAGACCCAAGTGTCCTGTGACAGGGTGAGCTCCCATTATTTGCCCCAGCTCCTGCCCACCTAGCAGTTCAAAAACATGCAAATGAGTTAATGCCAGTAGAAAAATAGGTACCATTTTGGTGGGAAGGCAACAACCGTCTTCAGACAACACTTGGCTCCCTCTGCTAAGAAACAGAGGTGAGCATCGCCCCCAAGAGTCAAGCATTGTCTTTACATTATAACAGAGGTCTCCAAACTTGGCAA